ATGGCAGCCCAGGGATGACGGCAGCCCGGGGACATGGCGGGGAGGAGAAGGAACAAAATGGGGGGCAGCCCCGTGGTCCCTCGGGAGCAGCGTGGCAGCGCAGCTCCTGGCACCTCGGACCACGGTTGGCACCATCAGTGCCGTGCACGGCATCCCACGCCCTCCATCCTTTGGGGGAGGCCGGGCAACCCCCAAACACGGCCATACCTGTCTGCCCTCGCTCCTCCAGACCCCGTTGACCGTCTTCGTGGGGGCGATGGTGACGACAGGCGGCGTGCTGGGCACGCTGTGCCCCCCCGGGGGCACGATGATGGGGCCCATGGGGCCCCGCTTGGGCGTGCTGGCAGGGGAGCTGTGGTTGGTGGCCGGCGAGGAGACCGGGGACGACTCGCTGCTTATCGAGGACCCTGAAAAATGAAAATAAGTGGGGGGGAAAAAGGTTAACCAGCTGAAACCACCCTCCGAACAAGCTGAAGCCATCCCACGCCATCCCCAGTGGGATGCCCCGCTGCAGGGACCGGGGATGGGGCACGGGGATGCCCGCAGGGCGGTCGGCATCCCTCCAGCCCCCCAGGCAGGACCCCCATCCTCCCATCCCAGGGGGTCCCGGGGAGCCCTGTCCCGAGGGAGGTTCCCCCCAGTGCTAAAAGGCTTTGCCCCACACGGTGGGACGGGCATCCTCTTGCTCCTGTCTAATAGGGACTGCCACCCCCCCAGCCCCCCCGCCTCCCATAAAGCTCTTTAGGGGCACAGCAAGCCCTGCCCAGGCCCTGGCACGAGCGACACCGACACGATGCCAATCCCGGGCAGCCGCATCTTCTCAAGCCGAACCCGCAGACTCCTTAATCCGGCTGCAAAAGTCGCCGCGCACAAGTCAGGGCACTCAGAGACGTTGGGATGAAGGAGTCGCTCCCCGTAACCCTTGGGCAAGGCTTTGGCTTTATTTGCATAATACATCTGTATTTTGAATTATACCCACCCCGGGGATGCTGGCGGTATTTGCAAGGGAAAAATAAAAATGGAATTAAAGCGGAGAGTGCAATGTGGGTAGAAAAGCAGAGCTGGAGCAGAAATACAAATTCAACGTTAACTAGGGCACACGGCGCCTGGTGTCTGCTCCTGCGGCACATCGCCTGCTCCCAAAGCTCACCCAGGCAGCGTGGGGGGCTCCTACCCCCCGAAACCCCGCTCCCATCAGCCCAGAGTCTGGGCCGAGGGAAGGTTTCCGACATGCCGGCAGGGACGGGCTACTGGCCGCCGAGGGATGGCTCGCAGCCACTGCAGGATGCCAGCCGAGAGGTGACGATGCTCCCCATCCCGGCACTGAGCCTGGCACCGAGAGAGGCCTTGTCTCCCCCGAGCGTGCAAGCCAGCTCCCCTGAGTGTGCAAGCTGGCTCCCCTGAGTGTGCAAGCCAGCCCCTTACCCTGTAAGTGTATAAGCTGGCTCTTTGCCCTGCAAGCATGCAATTCAGCTCCTCTGTGTGTGCAAGCCAGCCCCTTGCCCTGCAAGCTTGCAAGCTGGCTCCCCTGAGTGTGCAAGCCAGCTCCTTGCCCTGCAAGTGTGCAAACTGGCTCCCCTGAGTATGCAATCTGGCTCCTCGCCCTGCAAGTGTGCAAGCTGGCTCCCCTGAGTGTGCAAGCCAGCTCCTTGCCCTGCGAGTGTGCAAGCTGGCTCCCCTGAGTGTGCAGTCTGGCTCCTCGCCCTGCAAGTGTGCAAGCTGGCTCCCCTGCAAGTGTGCAAGCCAGCCCCTTGCCTTGTAAGTGTATAAGCTGGCTCTCCTGAGCGTGCAAACTGGCTCCTTGCCCTGCAGGTGTGTTAAGCCGGCTCCCCTGAGCGTGCAAGGCAGCTCCTCGCCCTACAAGCATGCGACCCATCTCCACCCCCCCTCCAAACGCCCCACGCACTCCTCGCCACGCTTATCCGCAGCGCCAGGGTGACACTGGGAGGGAGCCGGGACGCGGCGGGGCCGGGAACGCCGCAGGGAGGCAGGAGCATCCCCAGGCCCCGGGAAGGATGCTTGGCGGAGCAGAGAGGCCAAGCGGAGCAGCCTGCTGCCGGCCGCCCTGCCTTATTAATTATTCCCGAGTCGCTCCGAATCGCTTTCATTTCAAGAGCGGCAAGGCTCGGGGAAAGAGAAAGGCTGCCCGCGACAAAGGAGGCCGCCGATACGGATTTGACACCCACTGAAGTCTATCTTGTCAGCGCAAGGCCAACAACAATTAGCAGCCTAATCCCCTCTGAGCTGGGAAGCCATTACTCACCACGCGATAGTGTTAACAATCAATACCATCACAATGAGCCCGGCAATTAATGAAGCTAAAGTCTTACTTCAGAACCTTAATTCTCGCTGTGTGGCTTTAAACGGGAGGGTTTGTGATCGTTATAATTAACTGGTGGTATTCAGCCAGGAGTTAGTCAATGAAACTAATCTGGATTGGAGATGACAAGAAGCACAATGTGATGGTGTCACCTTTGTTTTCTGACCTCCCGCTTTCCGCTCGGCGATAGCAGATTAGCAGCCCAGCCACGGGAGGGTTTGTGATCGTTATAATTAACTGGTGGTATTCAGCCAGGAGTTAGTCAATGAAACTAATCTGGATTGGAGATGACAAGACGCACAATGAGATGGTGTCACCTTTGTTTTCTGACCTCCCGCTTTCCGCTCGGCGATAGCAGATTAGCAGCCCAGCCTGACAGGCAAATGTAATTAACAGCTGAGACCCTGAAG